GATGGATGGATGGATGGATGTTTTGGTTATTTACACATTCATTGTCATTGATATATTAACCCACTAGGGGGCACTGTCGGTACAGTCTGAAGCCTAGAAGGCACAGTAGGGACCCTCTGAAGCCATTGTATGGGACTGATAACGCCTAATAACATCCATTTCATGGACTGATAACATSAGAATCCRCTGTTTGTTCTGACAGTTAGAAATACTTCACTTAACTGTATCATTTTGTTCTCGTTAAAAAATCCTTATGGAATTGGTGCAAGGGGTTCTTGTGTGTGAGTGTGTGTGTAAGTGTGTGTTTGTGTGTGTGTGTGTGTGTATTGCAGTGTGACTGTGAGGCTTTATATTTGAATGTGCAGCCCAGTGATGTTGGTGTGAAAGTGATGTACTGGTGTGGATGAGGCATGGCTGCCTCATGTTCTGTTGCTCTCTCTTTCATTCTGACTGTTTTTCTGTCTGTTTCTCTTGGCCGGGCTATGTGCAAATCCCAATCATTCAACAGTTCTGGAGAGTAGATTGTATTAACCTCAATAATGGTAGTCTCTTTCCGTTTCTTTCTCACTCTTAACCCAGACGATGGCTCCAAACCCACACCTACGATGGAGACGCACGTCCCTCCTGAGGGTAAGCCTTTTCATAACTGTTCTTCTAACAGTGTTCACATGAAATTTAGGGTTACAAAATACTTCAGAAAACATAAGACATCTGGGCCTGTATTTATCACACTTCTTAGAGTMGAGTTTTAGACGTAAGTGCTGAAAATTTCTTAGATTTGCTCCTTCTCTCAGACTTAAGTGTAAGTTCCAGTTATGAAAATTTTCAYGTCTAYGAATCACTCTTACTCTCSTGAAAKGTCCTGAGAASACAGAGATCACACAGAGAACACAGCTGTCCTCCTCCCCACCTGAGTGTTATTCAGGTTGAGTCAGAAATACAAAAGAAAGGAAGGTTAAAAAAACAACATAGAGCATAATGTTGGACTAAAAGTGTGTGGCTCCCCCCCCCCCCCCACTTGCAGAGATTTGTCCAGATTGTCTGAATCTTTTAATGATATTGTGGACTGTAGATGATGAAATCACTAATTTTCTTGCAAATGTACGTTGAGAAACATTCTTAAAGGCACAGTTTGTAGGATTTTATCCTTTCTTTTAGCCGAAATTGAGATAATCACTAATGACAATAAT